AGCCAACAAAATCTGTCAGGCTAGTCTGAGCCCGTATCGTGGCATTAGTTAGATGTCACATCTCCATATCTTTGTAATAAATGCACTTGTATTATGTTGGGATTCCCCCTCTTATATAAAAGGGGATCCTTATCATTTTGTAAACATCTGTTGCTCCATACTAAATATACTAGAACATTCTCTCTGCTCTTTAACATATTCTCTTGATCTTACTACTTCATTTATTGCTCATATTTATTGTGATTCTATTCATTATTCTTCATTTATTGTTTATTATTGGCCATAAAGAGCCTCCTTTGATCTATTTATAACTGTTATTCATCGTCGATAATCTCCGATAGCTCCCAGCTGAGCTTCAGACTCGACCCCGAGGGCTTCGAATAGGCAAGCTCGAGGCCTCGATTGACAGCGATTCGGTTTGATTAACACCTCGTTCTTAAGCTCTTATTTCGATTCTAAGTCTTTCACATAGCACCAACTGCCTAACAACTAGCATAAAAATAGATCAAGTATTTTTAGAACCACTAAATCAAATTTAATTGTTATTACCATTTTTACGGTAAACAACATTTAAAAAATTTCCCCATTATAGCTTCACGTGCATAAGCCCCCTTATCTCGCCGTGTGCATCATAATGAAGTATTTCCGCTTACTAGCAACACGCGCATAAGCCCCCTTATCTCGCTGTATGTGTATCAATATATACACCACCCTTATGTCACCGCATGCGCATCTCATTCACAACACAACGATCAATTGCACCACACATGCACATATGCCACCACATCTCCCAAGACAACAGTACTAAAGCCACAATAATACATAGCCCACGACTCAACAATAATATGAACAAGAATCACAATAATAATAATAATAATAATAATAATATAAGGGTACGGGGAGTGAATAACAATAAGAATGCTTCAAATAACAAATAATTCCGATTCAAGGCATATTAATAGCCTAAGGTCTAATCCGGTCAATTAACACACATACGCCTATGTACACACTCGTCACCTTATGTACACATCATTTCACATAGCACAAAATATTGCAATTAGACCAAATCCTAAGAGAAAGTTTTCCTCACACAAAGTTAGGCATGATACTTATCTCAATTAAGCCAATTCAATACTCTAAAAATGCTTTTCCTTTAAAATTTACCTCTGCACCTCAAATCTAACAAAAATGACTTAATATATCATACAATACAAGAGAAACCAATTTTGATTAATAAAGTTAAGATCTTCACACAATTCATGAAAAGTCAACAAAAATCAACCCTAGGCCCGCCCGGTCAAACCCTAGTCGAAGGGTAGATCTCGACTACCCATAACCCACGAGTCCATATATGTATTTGGTTTTCAAATTCGAGTCCAATTTGACTCTCAAAACTCAATTTTTTATTTTTCTAAATATAGTTAAAAAAACCCCAAAATTTCTCTTCAATTTTCATGGTTTAGATGTTAAAATTCATAACTAATTATATTATATAATCAAAATTTAGTCAAAATCAATCACCCAATAGTTTTGTATGAAAATCTCCTCCTAAAATCGCCTCCACAGAGTCTAGGGCTCCAAAATGTGATAAAATGAGACCAAGTCCCAAAATCCCATTATTTTGTTCTGTTGCAGAAGTCGCAAATGCGACCCAAGGTTCACAAATGCGATAAAAGGATCACAATTGCCTGCCTGACAAGTTCAGGGAATGTCACAAATGCAACTCAAATATCCCATTTGCGAAGTCTGCCCAGGTCGCAAAATCGACCAAAATGTCACAAAAGCGACCAGCCTAGGAAATGACCCACCTTTGCAATTGCGATAAGAGCATCTCATTTGTGACACCTGACACCCCCTGCCTTCTTCGCAATTGCGAACTAGTGTTCGAAATTGCGGTAACCACAACACCAGCACACCAGCAGTCCTGAACCAAGTCCAAACTGATCCGAAATACGTCTGAAACTCACCCCGAACCCTTGGGCCTTCACACTAAACATCTACACAAGTCTAAAAATATTATACGAACTTGCTTGCGAACCCAAAATACTGAGATAACATCCAAAACTACGAATCGAATACCAAAATGCATAGAATTCATAATGAAACTCAAGGATCGCTAAAATCACAACTAAGCGTCTGATCCTACCGAACCAACTCGGAATGACACCAAACTTTGCAGATAAGTTTCAATTGACAAAAGGACCTTTTCCAACTCCCAAAACAAAAATTCAAACTCGATAGCCATAAAGTCAAACTATGGTCAAACTTAGAAAATTTCTAAACTTTCAAATTGACAACCTTTAGCAAAAAGAGGCAATTCAATCTAGGAACCTACGAATTCAATTCCTAGCTTACACTTAAGTCCAAAATCACCATACAAACCTATTGGAACTATCAAAATACCATTCCGGGATCGTTTTCAAAAAAGTCAAACCTCGGTCAACATTTCCAACTTAAGCCTCCAAACTAAGAACCAGTCGATCCAAATCAATCTAAGACCTACCCGAAATGAAACCAACCATCCTCACGAGTCATAAAACCATAAATACACCTACAGAAAGCATCAAAAGGGAAACAAGGCTTAAATACACAAAACGACCAGTCGGATCGTTACACATCCCTTTATTCAATCATTCTATTTCAGTTTTACCAACTAGAATGATCTATAGTAGAATAAGAAACAACTTCAACTAAGTAATAAGAACATTAAAGCTCGACATGTTACTCAACTGAGCAATTCTTGTGCTTCCTGGTTCTTAAATGATGGGTGCATATATTGCACCAGATACATTTATGATTGAGTATCAAAATAATTCATATAGGAAGATTCAAATTAGCTTATCTGTGGAAAAGATTTCAGGATCAAAATTATATTAAAAAATCATACTGCACTACATAATTTTGTAATTTATCGTAGCGGGCACATTTAGAACTCGTTTGGCATAGTATTAGTTTAGAGTCTCCATTCAAAGTTTCAAACACTCTATTACTTATTCTGTGTTCAAACCAAAAAATCGTACTAAAAATTGCAAAAAATCATTTAATGTTTGATTGCTTTTTAAGTTGTCATAATCTATTTAGGGAATAAAACACCATATAGATACTTACTATCTTAAGTTTGGTGTTACCTATAAGTACTCAAATTATTTATCCTAGTTTTGCTTATAATAACTCCACCAATTTTTCACGGGCAATTATATATAGATTTATGAACCAAAGATTAATGAGCAACTTTTGGAGTCACGAAATTTCTTTAACCACTTTGACATAAATTCTACTATTACACGTAGGGTGTTCATACCGAATCGGAAAACTGCACCAAACTGAAAAACCAAACCAAACCGATTAAAAAACTCGATTAGGTTTGGTTTGACTTGGTTTGGTATTGAGTAAAAAAACTCGAACCAAACCAACATATAAATATATAAATTTTATTTATATTTTTAAGACTTTATAGTGATTTTTCTTTAGAAAATGTAGAAATATTTGGGATCCTCTCATGTATTAACCTTGAAAGCGTAAATTAACGAAATATTATTGTCAGACGACTAAGAAAATAACTCTCATGTGTTACTAAAAAAATTCTTCCCATTAGAATATTTTAATAGATCATATGTTTGTCAATTTTTTCCATATTTACTAAACATATATTCACTTATCAAAGCTTTATCTATAAATTTAACAAAGTAAGATTGAAATAATATTTAGGTAACAAAAAACCCGACAAAACTGGACTAATCCAAAGCGATATAGTCGATTTGGTTTGATTTTGACAAAAATCGAACCAACCCGGTCCATGTACACCCCTAATTACTCGTATGAATATTTAGTCTTTAGTCTCACTACACTACACAAGTCTCGTTAGTACCATCCTTTTTTTCTCATTAAACATTGCAACATCATTAATTAATGTATTACGTATTAGTTTTACTTGTAGCATGTTTGGCCAAATTTTTCCAAAGGCCAAAAAAATGCCAAAAGTACTTTTTTCCCGGTTTGGCCAAGATTTTTGGTAGAAAAAAAGTATTTTTGGGAAGAACTAGAAGTAGTTTCTGAGAAACAAAAAAGTAGTTTCTCCCTAGAAGCAGAAGCAGAAACAGTTTTGACTTTTCTTCTTATAAAAAATATCCTTAATAAAATATGATATATACCAAAATAATCTTACTTATTTTAGACCTAATACTTAGGATATTAATGTATAAGTGTTTCTTCTTATTTTTAGAATAACTTCCTAATAAATAGTGACTTCAGGGGTAATTGCTTTTATATTTGTTGAATGATTTTCTAATATATATAAATCAGCTTTAAAAAATTAAAGTACTTTTTAATTTTATTTTTATATTCTACTTAAATAAAATGAAAAGTTTAATTTTTTTTTTGATATTATTTATTTACTTATAACATTAACCATTAAGTAAATCGTTTTGGTCCTTATTCGTAATTTGATACTTAAAAGCACTTTTTGAAAAACTTGATCAAACACAAATTATTTTTGAAATAATCAATCTGATTTTGGCTAATCAATCTGAAAAATATTTTGGGCAACTCTCTGAAAGACTTTTAAAAAAGCACTTTTGGAAAAAGTATTTTTTAAAATAAGCTGATTTTTTCAATTTGGCCAAATAGACTATTAGTCTGTCCGTAATACTGGACGAGCCTCTAACATAAAATAATCATCTGATTAATATTATTTTTTTAATGATATGATTTTATTTTTAACTCGTTTTACACGAGATAAGAGATAATTAATTCTGAAATTAAATTTAAAATAAGTTTATTGCACGATTAATTGGGGTAGAATCCGAAGTATCCCAAAGTTAATTATTTTTATCCCCACATAAGAGTTAAATAACTAATACCCAAATAATTAATTTCTCCGTCAACCAAACTTATTCTTTCCCACTACCGCTACCAATATTAGTATGGAGTACAATACCAGGTGTCACACTCTGACTAGACATGGTACAATAGTAGTCCTTTTTCATTAACGCGTTTTTTTTTTTTCGTTAACTTGGGCTCCTCTTTTCCTTCCCACTCAAAGATCAGCTAAGCCCGCACTCTCACTGTCTTCCTTCTCCAGCCAACTTTGCTTCTACACTTTCTTCCGCCGGCGATCATTTTCTCCGGCGAAGCCCAGTGGTAGGTTTTCCCTATTTCTTGATTTTCTCCTTTGTGACCAAAACCCTAAACCCTTTTACTGATTTTAAACTGGTGGGTTTTTAATGCATTTTGTATCATAAAGAGACCCTGATTCCAATATTCTTTCTATTTCCTTTTCTTTTTCTGGTTAATTCATGCTTATGTGATTACACTCATGCCTTTCACTTTCTTTGCATTTTTCTGAAAACAAAATTATATAAACAAGAAAAGATGTAGTGTGTGTGTGTGTGTTATCGTTTTCCAGGGTTTGAGTTTCTTGATATTTCAGTAAATGGGGTTTTTCTTAATGTTCTTGTTAATAGCCTTGACCCTTCTTCTGCGTTATATAGGATAGATGTATAATGTTACTTTTGATAGAAGGGTTTTCAATTTTCACCACCCTTCTCTTATCATAAAACGGGTCTGAAAATAATACTATTGCTTAAACTGTTTCGCCAATTTTTGGAACTACATACATTGGATATGGGTTTATTCTTTTCGGGGAAACCAACCATATATATTTGATTTGATTTTGAGGAAGAGAAATTTGACAGCTATTTTAGGACTGTTGCAGCTAGAATAATTGTGTAAAATAGATGCTGATTTTAATTTGTGAAGAACATAGGGGATCTTTGAAGATAGAGTGTTTAATATCTCATTATTTGTTTTAGATTTGAATTGAATTGGCTTAAGTGAGTGTCTTTTGTGTTTGGTTTCCATTGCCCTTTGTTCCCTTTTCTGTGTTCTGTTCGTAGAGGAGAGGAGGCAATGATAATCTATATAGGTTACAAATCAGTTAGCCAGTTGGCCTCTTCTATTTATATTATTAATCTTGTTCTGTTCGTAGAATGCTGGTTATTATCTCTTAGTTATGGGCATGAATGGAGCCAGTTGGGAACCCATTTTCGCCATTTTCTATTTGGCCATTAGAAGTGGTACTTTGGCATCATATATGCACTACACTTTATGTTTTGGGGTTTGTGCTCTTCAAGTGAACTTGCATTTTCTTTTTCCTTGATTTATTTCCCTGATTATCTTCCTTCTGGTCCTTGAGAAACATCAATTCTAGATATGCTAATTTGAAGCCTTACTATTTGTCTGCTGACTATTAACTGTTCAATTTTATATCAGCTGGTATCTGTGTGTATTGGAAAGGACTTAGGTGGTTATTAGACATTATACCCCCGTCACCAAGTGTATATTTGTTTATGTTTACCCTATTTTTTCTAATTCTCAGCCATGCATGTCATTTGCATGTGATGAAGCAATGTCAGTGAAACGCTAGCTATGTTTTATTTTCTTGTTTCTCTGACACTGATGATAAACGGTGATTTAATGTTATTTATGATCACACCATATCATATGTGTTTATTTCCAGCTCACAGTTTCATCCAAAGATGAGTTCCAGCAAAGGGGTTGGGAAGTCGTCAGCAAAGCAGAAAGCTATCTGTGAAACAACTACACCAACGGTTGATGAGATAAGTCTAGGTGTTGGAGATATGGGCTTTAACTCTGAACAAAATGATGGATGGGAAGTGTATGCTAGGAAATCTAAGAACAAGAGTGGAAGCAGTGCTGGGAAGCAATGGGTTCCTCAGAATCCCAGTCCGAAAACTTGGGGAAACCAGAATACCAAAGCGTGGGGTCATCCAGATGTCGTTCAGAAATTGGGCATGCGTAACAATGTTGGACCAGGAAGGGGTTCTAGGAATAACTGGTCTACACCTATTGATCCTCGAAAACCTGCTGGCAGAGATAACTCCAGGCCGCAGCTATTTGACGGAGGTTTTGGTAATTGCTACACCCCTTCACCTGCTGCAGTTCCTCCTGCTCTGAAGAATGGATGGGATTGGTCTGCTAGAGCTGCCTCAACTGATCCGAAGGAGGACCAAGATGCTTCCCCTGTCGCTGATGATGTTCAGGGCAGTGAACATGATGGCGAGGATAATGAATCAGATTTTCTTGATGAAAGTGATGATGACCTTCGGAGTGATGAATTTGACTCAGATGTGGCTGAAATGAGTTATGAGACGCGCCAGAAAAATCGTTGGTTCAAAGAACTTTTCGAATCTCTTGAAAGTTTTACTGTTACTGAGATTAATAATCCTGAACGACAGTGGCACTGCCCTGCATGCAAAGGTGGTCCAGGTGCAATTGAGTGGTTTACAGGGTTGCAGTCACTGATGACCCATGCAAAAACGAAAGGAGTAAGGGTTAAAATACACAGAGAACTTGCTGAACTTTTGGAGGAAGAACTGCGTGAGAGAGGTACTTCTGTTGTACCTCCAGGTGAAGTGTATGGAAAATGGGATGGCATAGAGTTTAAAGATAAAGAAATAGTGTGGCCACCAATGGTGATTATCATGAACACGAGGCATGACAAAGATGAAAATGACAAGGTAGATGATGATTTTTGTCTTCTCCTCTCTTCTAGTTTATGTGAACCTATTTCCTTTTTGGCCATTCCATAAAGAATGACCCCTTTCTAAATTTGGTAACAATTTAGCTTAAACTTACAATTTTTACAATTTTACCTTTAATGAGAAGCTTTTATAACCACACAAATACTCTGGGCCCTTTTTGACTTGTTTAGGACCACAAATTTCAAAAGTCTTTATTTTTTCTTAAACTCCGTGCCCAATCAAACAGGTTCACATAAATCGGAACGGAGGGAGTACTTGATATACTTTTTATTTAACACTTTATTGGCTTAATGTCTAATACGTATCTCTCTCTCTCTCTCTCTCTCTCTCTCTCTGTCTGTCTGAGCCGCATTTCTCAGTGGATTGGAATGGGAAATCAGGAGCTGCTTGAGTCTTTTAGCTCTTATGCTGCTGTCAAGGCTCGACATTCATATGGTCCACAAGGCCATCGTGGCATGAGTGTATTGATTTTTGAGGCCTCTGCCGTGGGATACATTGAGGCTGACCGTCTGCGTGAGCATTTTTCTGAAAATGGAAGAGACAGAGACGCATGGGAACGCGGTACAGCTCGCTTTTATTCAGGGGGGAAGCGTCTGCTTTATGGTTACATGGCAGAGAAAAGAGACATAGACAGCTTTAACCAGCATTCACCTGGTATTTGTGATTATTTTCTTTTTGAACAAACTGTTGTACTTCGGAGAACACTGATCTTCCCTGTAAGTAACAAATACGTTGATTAAAGTTTGATTTGCTGTGTGGGATTTATAGGGAAATCAAAGTTGAAGTTCGAGATGAGGTCATACCAGGAAGCTGTTGGAAATCCAGCGAAGCAGATGATGGAGGATAATCAACAGCTAAACTGGTTCAAGAACAAAGCTGCTAAACACCAGAAGCAGGCTAAAGCTCTTGAAGAGTCTCTCACTCTGGTGAGTGAAAAGCACCGTCAGACATTGGAAGAGAACAAGATTGTCAGATTGAAAACAAAAATGCACCATGAACAAATCAAGGAAGAGGTATGTAAGAAAATGCCAGATATGGAAATGTTACTTGCTCACCATTTGATCAATTATTATGAAACCTTGAGATGTTAAAGGCTGCAGTAACTGACCTTGACGGTGCCTTGCTGAGTTCAAATGTAGAATAGGCTCTTAATGTGTATTCACTGAAGTGCAATATCTTATCTACTGAGTTTATACTAGCTTTAATCTCGATTCAAGAAGATGCTTGTATTTAATTAGGGACTGTTTATACAAAGCGTGCTTTCTGAGTCATTTCATCCTTATTTTGTTTGTCCGTCTATTTTGCTATTGTTTATCGTGATGCTATTATTTATCTCCTTTTCTAGGATAAGAAATGATAATGGATTTCATTTGAATGTAGGGAGGATATGGTGTTCATTGTTTGACTAGGATCCTGTTGGGGGACCTCCTCATGTATTTAAATGATATATTCCTTGATATTAACTCTTTGTAATTTCTGGTATTAAATTCCATATAGTGGTGTTAATGAATGTTTGATGAACTTTGTCTGTATGTTGCACATATCACGTCCTAGAATTGCTACTACTGGCACTAGGACAACTCTGACTTGCTTGACATTCATTTAGTCAAAACTTTCTTTCCCTCTGCATTTCGATTTTGTTTTTTTCACATCCTTTGTGTTTCTTTTTTGGGGAGCAAGCAGCCATCAACCCTTTCTTGTGCTTTTAGAATGTTGTCCTCTACCTTAATTTCTGTTCTCTACATACAATCTGAATCATATAGTTATACTTTCTGCAGATGGAGTACCAAGAACAGTTTTTCAAGGATCAGATCAAAATAATTCATGATGCCAGGACTGCTGAGGAGGACAAATTTGAAAAGGTACAACAGGAGCAGCGTGAGATGGTCCAACAATCTAATGCAAATACTTCCTCGGTTGAGGATCATCGTGTGAGGTAAAATGTTCTTGTGAAGGCTTTATTTCGGTACCTGTAGTTTGGTAGCTATGCTGTGTTACATCTGGAACTACATCAGATAAACCAGATCTTGTTAATCCCCTGCTATGTGTTATGGAGAAGTTTGTTAGGACCCATTTGGTTTTCACAGCATGAAAAATTAGTGGCTACTCCATTTGATCTCTCTGTGTGTTGCAAGGGAAATCTAGACCTGATATTAAGCTTTTTGACATATTTATCTATAACATTGATGCTTTCAGAAACCTCCATGCCACACTAATGTATCCCCATTCTTTTTGAGAAACCGTAGGTTTGCCACACTAATGGTGGTTGATGGATATTCTTTGAGATTTTCCTTATGTATCATTTGCGTTTCAGGGCAGAGCGTGTTGCAAAATTTATCAAACTTCAGGACAAGGAAATGGAAGAGTTTGTGGAAGAGAGGGAGAATCTGATGAGAAGTCATGAAGATAGGATAGCTGCATTGAGACGCAAATACTGGGAAGAGGAGGTTGAACTTGAGAAGAATTTTGACTTCGAACTGGCTAAGCTCATGGAGAAGTACTCCCCAAAGCAATCTGAATAGCAATGGCTCCATGTGAACAAATATAGTTGCTTTAAATTTCTGATGAAATTGGGATGCTGTATTCAAATACCTTTGAACTAATTTATTAGTCTATAACTAACGTTGCACTTCCAGACATTTTTATTTGTTTTTGGGTTGTGAAAACCTCTGTCACCTTATGTTTGACCACTTATACGGTATGATTATTACTTGTGACCGACTAGGTTCGTTGATGACGCTTGCCACAAGCTACTTTTGTGAGTGAGGAGCGGCCAGTTGCTCTACCCTATATAAGTAATGCTTCGGCATGATTTCATTTTTGGGTAGGGGGATTGAATTTCATATTGGGAGTGGCCCAAGTCCTGCTCAACATGAATTTGGCTTGTTCCACCTTTTCTTTGTAGATTTTTACATATCTATATACTATTGAAAACTTTATTACTCTTCCTACTCAGATTTTACTTTAATTACCTCCTATATAAAAAATTACTAATTATGTATATTTTTAGAATTTAAAGATAATTAATCAATTCCTACAATTATTGTAACGTACAAATCCCCCTCCCCACGTTTCTCTCTTCGTATCCCACTCCCTCCACGTTTCTCTCTCCACATCCCACCCCTTCCCCACGTATCTTGAACAAAAGAGCAGCAATTCCACCATTGAAAATTATTAAAAAGCTTTGAAGCTTTGAATTCGAATTTGGATTTTCAAAAAATATTATTTGTTTGAATTGGGTGTTGTTGCAAAGAACTGGGATTCTTTCTACGTCTCTCTATCTCTCATTCCCTAATTTCAGTGATGTAAAGCAAAGGAAAAGAGTGCAGCAATTCCACCATTGACAACCATTAAAAAGCTTTGAAGCTTTGAATTCAAATTTGGATTTTGAAAAACCATTACTCCCTCCGTTCCATATTAGATGAGGTACTTTCATTTTTAGTTTGTTCCAAAACAAATAACACATTTCTAAATTTGAAAAATATTCAACTTTAAACTCTTTCATTTTACCGTTAATGAGAAGTTTTTATAGCCACATAAATGTCATGGCCCCATAAACTTTTTACCCCTTAAGCTTTTAAGACCACAAGTTTCAAAAGTCTTATTCTTTTTTCTTAAACTTCGTGCCGAGTCAAACTACATCATCTAATATGAAACGGAGGGAGTATTTGTTTGGATTGGGTATTGTTGCAAACAATTGGGAATATGGTTTGGAGTTTATATANGTATAAAAATTATATTTAAGTTGTATGATATTGTAGTTATATATAACTGAGTAGAAATAATGTAAGAAAATTGTAGATAAGTTGTATAATGTATAATTAGTTGCATGAAATTTATTTTTACTATGTATAACTCAGATACAAAGTATACAAAAGACATATAATATAAAATTTGTATAAAAATTATATTTAAGTGGTCTAAATGGCGTGCATGTGAGTCGTGACTTGCCAATGCAAGGAGAGACTTGTTATATGAGGACTTCTGTTTCGGTTACTTGTCTTTTCAAATTTGAATTTTATATTATGCTCTGGATTTTAAGTTTAAAGAGTTATAATTCTGCTTATAAATGATCTTATTAGCCCAATACTTTACTGCTAACTCATTTTGTATATCTATTTCTGAGCAGTTAAATGCACAATTTGTGGACTGAAAATTTATGGCAGCAATATCACCTCGTAAGTTCTTGTGGACATTGACAATTAGGTCACCTAGCTGATGTTCTAGTTTAAAAAGTAAAAATAATAACAATATAAGGAATTTAGGATGCTGAAGGGAATGTTTTATAGTTATTAAAAGTGAGAAGAATGGAATTTCACGATTAACTAGCAGATTTAGTTGGGAAATTCGTTACTATTCAAAGCACTCCATTTACTCGAGATATGGGGAGAAAGAGAGAATTTGGAGAGAGAGGGGAGAGAGGAGAGAAAAAAGGTGTAACTAAATTTCTTGATTGAAGACACAAATAATAGATTGGGAGTCGTGGATTGTATATATTTTATAACTAAAATGTATTTAGGTCGGGTAAATACCAATACATAGATATTTTTTTTAATAAGGATTCAAATAGTGTATAGGAATAAAAAACTCTCTTTTCTTTGTTCTTTATATTTAGGCAAAATACCTAAATTGTACCCTAAACATGTTAGCAAAATTTGGTTGCACACTGAAACTTTACGGTTTTCCCTTATCCTTATTTTTAGTGCAACTAATACCACCTCAAAAGTTGATGGGGAAAGGATTTAAATATAAAGAAGAAAAAGGAGTGCGTTGAAAGTCAAACTGAAAATGCAGGCCCATCTTCTTAATTTTGAATTTTTTTTCCTATACAATAATTGAAATTTATTTACCTAAATTGTCCTAATTTCGTATAGTACCCGCCCTAAATAAGGTTTTACAATATATATATATACAATCCATTATTAATACCTTAAATTATGAGATTCAGTTACACCCATTTCCTTTTTTCTCTGCCCTCCTCGTCCTTATTCTCAGCTGCATGATGATAGACTATAATCTCGTGTTTAGTCGATTAATGCACGCTAATTTGCTACACTTTAATTGAGTTTGAGCTTTAATCGCTAGGGTTTTGCACTAATTATGTGTTTTATACTTTGTAGGAGTGACTCTGAGCTATGTAGATGTTACGGAATGGATTCGAGTGATTTGGAGCTTTGAAGTCTGAGTAAAAGCCCAAGGAATTAAGCCGGGATCGCGTTCGAGGGTCTAGAACCACATATGGATATCAAAACGTGAAAAAAAGGCTCACTCTGAGAAATCACCAAAGCCGCGACGCGTGGGGCTGATGCCCCATATGGCGCTTCGCCCCATGCAGCGCGCCTATGCAATTTTTAAAGAGCTAGAATCCTATTTCGCGCTGGAAAAAGTATTTTCGCCTGGGCCTGACCCTACTTAGTATAAATACATGTAAAAATATTATTTTGAGGACTTTTGGCACATCTTAGACCTAAGAAAGGTAAGGAGGAGGTGAGGAAGCAAAAGCACAAGGATTTCATCATTCAATCCCCACTCAAGACAAGAGTTTGGATCATTTTATGTTTTCCTTTGATTTAAACTTTGTTATGATGAATTACTCCATATTTATGTAGTATTTCTTTTTAAGGTTTGATGGATTTGGTGTATTGTTACTTGTTTGTGGATATTAACTCTAGTTTTACGTATTGAGATTGTTTTGGATGTTTTAATCGTTACATCTATATTCACTTGTTCATGTAATTGAGAGAGGCATTACTTGTGATATCTTTACATTATATTTTGTGGTTGAATTCATTAATTCATCTTAGTAATCGAAAGATACTAGTTGAATTGTTGATTAAACCTAGTTAGGAGGATAATCGAGAGAGATTCTCCTAAAGACCAATCCATTACGAATTCTTGCATATCTTCACCGATCTTAAATTGATTCATCTTGTGAGGTTGAGACTTAATCGAGAGAGAAGTTTCTACTAAATAATTGAATAAATAACAAAGTGAATTCGAGAGACTCGCTTGAACATTAGAAGTGAATTATCTAGAGTTATATCTCAAAAATTTATTTTGTACCTATCCTATCAACCCTATTTTCTCCCATTGATACCTTCATTTGCCTACTACCTGCGTTGTTTGTCACTAATCAATAGTTTAGATTCTTAGTTACTTTTAGTTTTAATCATATAAATCTCCATTGTTGATCATCTTGGATAGTAATCGAGCTATAAATTACGAAAATATTGTTTAACTCCAATACTTGTGGATACGATACTTTAATTTACTATATTCGACTAGCGAGCATATTTTAGTGTGTGTTTTGCGCTCATTAAATTTTGGCACCGTTGTCGGGGATTGGCAATCAATAGTGTCTAAAATAGTTTGTAGTACTAATTCAGAAATTTTTCTTTTTATTTTATTTTTCTCTTTTTACGCTTGGTGTTCTTTGATTGTTCGCATGCTACATGCTAGATTGGTGCATGACTTGATCTTCTGGAAAGAAGTTCAACCATACAAACCAGAAATCAAGAAACAACTACGACAGTTGAGAAAGGAAAGAAATCTTCCCGAAAATAGAGAAGGTTGGACAATCCTCAACCAATGAAAAGATGGTGGGAGATGATGATAATGTTGATTTGGCTGCAAGAGAGGCAACCTAAAGAACAGAAAAATCTGTTCGGGATACTGAGGAAGTAGCTATTAGAGATGCATAAATTGCATATGAAGAAGAGAGGTCTCGAAGAATGGCACAAAATAAGCCTTGGGTGCAGACCAGCTCGGAAACATAGCTCTCGACCAAGGGAGACCACTTGGCGATTATGCTAGACCGGTCTACAACCAAGGTTTATAAAGTGTGAGACCTCCACCAGTTGCAGCCAATAATTTTGAGTTGAAGCAAGGGTTACTCTAAACCCTTCAAAATAGTTGTGTCTTCAGAGGAAAGATGAACGAAGATCCAAACAATCATTTAATGGACTTTGACGAGATAATGAACACCTTTTAATACAATGGTGTTTCACAAAACGCATTTACTTAAGGGAATTCCCCTTCACTCTCAAAGATGATGCAAAGCACATTGGCTTCGAAGCTTGTCCCAGGGATCAATTAGAACATGGAAGGAGATAACCAGAAAATTTCTTACTAAATATTTCTCCTCAGCTAAGATGGGCAAGTTTAGAAGAAAAATCCATAACTTCTGCCAGAATGAGACTGCAACTTTGTTTGAAGCACGGAAGAGGTTTAAGGAGATTGTCAGAAAGTATCAATACAGCGAAATTGAACTCTGGATGCAACTCCAGGACTTTTGGAATCGTTTGACACCGACCTCACGTAGAACATTGAGCAATGCAGTTGAAGCCCCGTTGATGAAAAAGACTCCAATGGAGATAGTCACTATTCTAGATGAGTTATCTGAAGATGCAAATTAGTGGCCCTCGGAGATTACTGAAAGAAGAAGATCAACTGATGTTCACCAAGTTGATACTAACACATCTGTGCAGGTACAACTTGATGTCATTGTCACACCTCCTTTTTCCGCCCCCGCGGGGGGCGTAGGGAGTTTTTTCCAATTAAAGGACA